GTCATGTTGTGAATGAAGAATAAGAACAAAAGGGAAAAAACCATGGGAAAGAAAAAACAAAAACAAAAACAAGTGAAAATAGTATGCTTCAATCTGCATTCAGACTCTATAGTTCTTTCTCTGGATGTGGATAGCATTTTCCATCACACCTACTTGCATTTCTTATCCCAGCAATCCCAAAATGGTGCCAGAGGGTTAGAGCCAGGTTGCTCCTTTCTGTCCTTCTGCTTCTAGTTCCCACCCATTTGCCCATGATTAAGAACATTCAGAAACTTAGTGATGATGACATACTTCTTCACAAATTTCTGACAGTAGCCAGCAAATTCTAGAGAAGTCTTTATCTCTATAAACTTTTTCAGATATGGATGGTCAAGTGACTTGGGTTTTTAAGTTGGGATCAGTACTTGTTCTGTGCTAAGACACTGCATGACCCACCTACTTAACTATGAGATACTTTATATTTTCTTCTACTTTTCCAGCCTATTGACTTTTTTTTTGGTGAGGCAATTGGGGTTAAGTGACTTGCCCAGAACAGCTAAGTGTCTGGGGCTGGATTTGAACTCAGGTCCTCCTGACTCCAAGGCCAGAGCTTTGACTTTGTTTTAATATTTCTTATTGCCTTAAGAAGTCATTGGCTTCTATTTGGTCCATTATAATCTTCAGGTAGTTTGTTGCTTGGGCAAGGTTTTGTTCCTCTTGTGCCAAACTGTTAATTCCTTTTCAATGCCTTCTTCCCTGACTCTCATTTCTTTTCCAATTTTTTCCTCATATGCTCTCATTCTATTTATAAAAACATTTTAAAATCTCTTTTAAACTCTTACCTCGTCTGTTTTAAGAGTTCTAGTTGAGTTCGTGGACATTATGGACCTTATGGATTCTCCTAGGCACTATTGAGCTAAACAGTGGCGTTAGGGGAAAAGAGGCTTAGCAAGTGAGGAGGAGTTACTCCCCCCAGAGTCAGGTGCCTTTTTCTCTGATGCTTTGCTTGTAGAAGTTTTTGAGTCATTTTCTCCTGTGTTTGTGGCTTGAGCATCCCTGTCACCATAATTGCTTTTTATGGTTGGATTTTTTGTTTGTTTGTTTCATTTTGTTTGCTCATTCTCCCAACCTGCTTTCTGACTTTGGACTTGATGTTAGGCCTGGGCTCTGCCACACTTGTGAAGGAAAAATTGGGGCTGGTCCTGTTGTTGCTTTCTTGGGGTTTTGAGTGTCCGGGATTTTAAAGACAGATTGATACGGAAGTAGAGCCAACTTTTGAATGGTTAGTAAAATCCATACTCCTCTCATTTGAGCTGGGATTGGACTAGCTCATTTGGGTTATTACACTCTTCCTGAACCACCCATCTCATGTTACTCCTTGTCACGTTAATCCCTCCTGGTCATGCAGACCATGTTCAGAAATGGTGGCTATCTCCACCCTCGAGGTGTATTAGTTAATATTCAATAATTAAGCAAGTGCCTGGTCCTTGACCCTGACATGTTGCAACCAGTCTAGCCTCTAGGGCTCTATCTCAAGGAAGAAGTGGTTTTTCATAATGTTTGGGGCACTTTCTGATTGGTTGAGGGAGTATCCTCAAGGTCTTGGAAGTCCTCCTCAGAATTCCTGTGTTCTGCTGTGCAAGCCTAACTGCTAAATCTTTCCCACATTGTTTCATTTTTTATATTGGCAATTTGGTTTTCTTCAAGTTTTTTTTTTATCACAGTAGCTAATGGTTTACATATTTAATCGGGTATTTTTTTCTCTTAGAAAACCAGTTCCCACTTTTATTTATCCTTTCAATTTTTGTTGTTTTCAATTTTATCTCTTTTTTTATTTTAAGAATGTCTATTTTTGTGATTTGTTGGAGTTTTTAAAAAATTTGTTGCTTTTCTAATAATTTTAGTTGCATGCCCAATTACTTGAGTTGTTATTTCTCCAGTTTTGCTGATGAAAGTGTTTAGAGATATAAATTTTCCCTTAAGGACTGCTTTGGTTGCATCCTGAAACTTTCGGTATGTTGACCCATTGTTGCCATTTTCCTTAATGAAAGTCTCTTTTCCCAGTGAGAGGGAGCTTCAGTAGGTTTCCAGATAATTGAAATCCTGTATAGATACCATATCATTCCTCCATGTTACACTTGTGACCTGTTTCCAAACTTCCGTCTCTTCTTTTTGTCCAGTAGTATAATTTAATGGCAAGATTGTTTTTGTTTTTGCCTCAGTTGATCTCCATTGATCCAAATCCTTTCCATCATGCTTTCCCCATCTGGCTACTGCATTGCCTCAAGTAATCCTATCTTCTTAACAAACAATCTTGTTCTGCCCTTGTACTCCTACCCCTTTTACCCATCTTGCTGCTTTTGAATAAGACTCTTCCAGAGCCATCATTATGGGTTCCATTCCCCCAAATTTCAATGATACTTATAGATCAATTTTTTAAAAAAAATTTAGCTTAAGATCATTTGTTCACCTTGTTCAGTATTTATACTTTGTGCATTTTTGTATTGGCATTCTAGGCTGTGAGTTTTATTGTGGGTGCCTTTCTTCGATTTTAGTTCCAGTGTTCAGGTGATTTTCTAGATGTTTAGATTGCTATTCTTCTTACTATATTGTATCTATCCTGTATGGTAAGATCACAAGATCATAGATTTAAAGATAGAAGGGACTTTTGAGATCATTTAGTCCAATTAGTTCATTTTACATTTGTGAAAGCTGAAACCCAGCAAGGTTAAGTGACTTGCCCAAGATTATACAGGTTAGTGGGAAGAACCAGGATTTGAACCCAGGTTCTTTGACTACAAATCCAGCACTCTTTATATTAGACTAGGGAGACAGCTAGTTTGGGGACTAAGTAAAAGGTTGCATTGGCATCTAAAAAAGAATGAGCTCCTTTCAGATTTCAGTGGATCATTTGTACCTTATAAAGCATCTGAGAAGCTCCTTTGCTTATGAGAAGGCCAGAAAAGCTTCCAAGCAGTTCATAAGGATAGAGAGCTTGCCTCCAGTGCAACATTTGCTTGGACCCACTGGAGAGATGAAGACTTGGGAAATGTTCTGGATGGACCCCATAGGTTAGGGTGAAGTTTCTCACTGAGCCAACTCGGCTCTCAGTGGAAGAAAAAGGAAAGACTAATCCTAATAGGGCACTAGCTTACTGGGATGACCCTAATTCTTTCACTTGCATGGGAGATGACAGACCTCAGCAATTTCTGTCAGTGCTAGGATAAAGGTTCCTTCTCTTTCTGAAAGAGTACAGTAGTGCCTCAGCTGAGGGCTGCAGTGGGACCATGAGCTGACACAAGAGAGGCCATGAGGTTTGTAGAACTGGAAGAGCAGGGGTGACTGCAAGGAGTAAGTAAAGAGGCTGAGACCCTAGGATGAAGAACATCAGGAGCGACAGATGCTGAGGAAAACTCCCCAGACTAGAAACTTCAAAGTGCTAATCCTGTATTTTCTTTACCCTTTCGTAGAAAACTAAAGCCCTTCCTTTAAGACGTAAGAAAAGTCTTTTTACCTTTCTTTGTTTTAAATGTTTACTGCATCTTAATGAGTTTTAACCACAAGTCTGGGTGTATTTATTGGAAATAAATATTGAAAGAAGACAATTGAGAAGGGTGCATTCTCAAAGGACAGAGAGACAGAGAGAGAGAGAGAGAGAGAGAGAGAGAGAAGAGAGAGAGAGAAGAGAGCGCTAATACAGTTTAACCAGAGCTCTCTCTCTGGTTAGGGGCACAGAACTGAGAGACAGACAGAGACAGAGACAGAGAAAGAGAGGCAGAGAGGGGCAGCTAGGTAGCGCAGTGGATAGAGCACTGGCCCTGGATTCAGGAAGACCTGAGTTCAGATTCAGCCTCAGACACTCACTAGCTGTGTGACCTTGGGCAAGTCACTTAACCCCATTGCCTAGCCAAAAAAATAAAAATAAAAAATAAAAGAGAGAGAGAGAGATGAAGGGAGGGAGAGACAGAGAGAGAGAGAGAGGGAAAATTACACATTCTTTATACAGCTCCTTAGAGCAGAGGAAGAGTGTTCGCACTGGGAAACCCATCTGGACAATGGATCAGTAGTAGAGTGAGAGGGGCAAATAGGAATGGCTCAACAGTCCTGCTCACCGCACCAGACCACCACTGCTACATAGTTAAGCAGTTTTCTTCTTTTTCAGACAGACCTAAGTTTGAATCCTGGCTCTAACACTCACTACTTGTTATCTTGGGCAAGTCATTTAACTCCACTGAGCAAAGAGAGTACTTAAAATCCCTATCTTACTGTGAGGAAGGCACTTTGCAAACCTTCAGGTGGTTTAGAAATGTGAGCTGCTTATTGTCTCAGTATCTTCCATCCCTAGAAGTGTTATGAAATGCAGAATGGCTGTGAGCAGAGAGAAGAAAGCCAATTAGGCTGTTACTGCATTGATGGCATTGAGGTTCTGAACCTGGGCGGTAGCAGAGGAACTAGGAAGTGGGGGGAGCAGATTTGAAAGATATTTATGATGTAGAATTACCTAGAGTTCATAATTGGTCGGGTTTGGGGTGAAGAAGGGGGGAGAGTCAAAGATAAGCACAAGATTTTGAGCCTGGGTAACTGGGAAAATGAAGGATTGTTTTCATATTTGTAAAAGGAGCTTTTTCACAGGAAGGGGACCCACTGATTATTCTTTCTTCCTCTGAGAATAGAATATGCAGAAATGAGCATGTTCTATAGCCGCAAGAAGTTTGTTAGATTTCAGAAAGAACTTCCTAAAGAAACATATGATAATAGAATAGCTAAGTAAGGAATTTAGAATCTCTCTTTTCTCTGCAGTTCTTTAAAAAGAGGAGAAATTATTTGCCCTACAGGGTAAGTTTTGTTTTATCTGAAAGCAAGAGATCACATTCCCTATTGTAACACTCAGTGGTGTTTAATGATTATTCACTTGGCTTCTGGAGCTGGACTGATGAGATTTAACATGACTCCAGGGTCCTGCAGATATGGGAGAGGGCTGAGGGCAAGAAGCTTGTCCCCTCACGCTGGCCTTTTCTCAGGTGGGAGGAGAAGATCCCGCTAGCAAAAACCAGCCTGGAGAAGACCTGGCTGTTCCATGAGATCGGCCGCTGCTACCTGGAACTCAACCGGCCTTGGGAGGCTCAGGAGTATGGGGAGAAGTCTCAGGCGTGTGCTGAAGAGGAGGGTGATGTTGAGTGGCAACTCAATGCCAGTGTTCTGGTGGCCCAGGCACAAGGTACAGGCAGATACCCCAAGCTTCCCTTTCCCCTGTGATGCAAGCCACAGCTCCTGTGTATGCCATCAAACTGTCCTGACCAGGCTTAATGTCCTTTGGGCCATCTCATGGTGTTGCCCACTTAGGGTTGTCCAGTCTCACTCTGACTGGACACTATCCCATGGCCTCATGTCTCTGGCTGGAATGATCCAAACTTAGTCAACTAATAATTAAGTAACTGCTGTATGCAGGGTACGATGGGCTTGGAGGGAGGGGGAGTGAAGAGGGGAAGAAAGGGTCCCTGCCCTCATGGAGCGTATACAGTCTAATTGGGGGGATTTAAATTGGATAAAAAAAAAAACAACAGGTAAAAGGAGTCATAAGGCAATGAAAAACAAGTGCCAAGTCTCATAAATGCCGCCGCCCCCTCCCCTAGCCCCATACACTTCCTTTGTCATTGGGTGTCTGTTTTCAGTCCCCCTTGTGCCCATCCCTGGCCAGGAGGCTCACCCAGGCCAAGGAAAGAGCTCTTGCACTCAGGGGACTCACAGTCAGGCAGGGAGCTCAGATGGAGGGACACACAGACATGTCTGGAGAGCACTCAGAGGGCCACACTCAAGTGCCAAGGAACATGGGGTGATGAGTGCTAAGGGACAGCACGAGGTGGGGTGAGGGGAGGAGGCAGCGCTGCCCTCCTCTCTGCAGGCTATGGGACTCTCAGAATGAACCGAATCCTGAGACAGTGGGGAGCCCAGCCATTCTCTGCCAGCCTCCTTTTCTACACAGTGGATTTGCTCCTGGTCAGCTTCAGTTTGCCAAGTGGGGGTGGGGAGGGGATGGGAAGCAGGGGGGAGCAGGGGACAAGTACACTGGCTTTGGGCTTGGGACACCTGGGTGCAACAGCAAGCTGTGCCACTCATGAGCTGAGTGATTCTGAGCAAGTTACTTTATCTTTGTTTCCTCAGATTTGTAAAGTGAGGGGGCTGGATGGAATCATCTCTAAGGCTTCTCCAGCACTATGACTCCTTAGGTCAAAGACTTGGGAAAAGGATGGTGCCACCTAGCTTGCTGATGAAGAGGCCAACTGTATTAATCCAGTTTTCTTGAAGGCAGTTCTGCGTCTTCCCCTGCTTTTGGCCCCCCAGTAGCCATCTTGGTGCAACATGCTAAGTCCTTAGTACCAAGCAATGGATGACCCGACCTGCGAATCAGACTGTGGGAGCCACAGGGTCGACATGGTGCTGTCTGTTGTTAATAACCACTTCCCATTCTCCCCTTTCTTTACAGTTAAGCTGAAAGACTATGAGGCTGCCGTGAGCAACTTTGAGAAAGCCTTGGAGAGGGCAAAGCTTGTCCACAACGATGAGGCCCAGAACGCCATCATCAGTGTAAGCCTACCCCTCCTGCTTCTGACATCCAGAAAGGGTAAAAAAGGGGTGCCAGCAGACCAGCCTTGCATTTTTCCACTCCCATTGTTTCTGCACTCCTACTTCCTAGCACATAGTAGGAACTTAATAAATGCTTGTTGATTGATCCACTTCAAGCAGTCAGCTATTCTATACTTTTCTTTTTTTCTTTTTTTTGCTTTTTGGTAAGGCAGTCGGGATTAAGTGACTTGCCCAGGGTTACACAGCTAGTAAGTGTCAAGTGTCTGAGGCTGGGTTTTAACTCAGGTCCACTCTATCCACTGCGACACCTAGCTGCCCCCTTTACTTTTCTTCTTGTTGGCCTTATCTGACTCTTCATGACCCTATTTGGGGTTTTCTTGGCAAAGATACTGGAGTGGTTTGCCATTTCCTTCTCAAGCTCATTTTACACATAAGGAAACTGAGGCAGATAGAGTTAAGTGACTTGCTGAGGATCACACAGCTAGGAAATGTCTGAGCTAGTAAGTGTCTTGGATTTGAATTCAGGAAGATGAGTCTTCCTGACTCCAGGCAGGCCACTCTTTCCACTGCACCATCTACCATGTACTAATTCTACACTAGGTATCACATGGGACATAAGGACAAGATTTCATTTTTATTCTCAAGGAGCTTATACTGCAGTTAGGGAGACAAGATTTAGGTACAGAATGATGAGAATGAAGAATGACAGTATATCATGAAGTGCTGGATAGATAATAATTAGTACACCAGAGATATGAAAAAATGTGAGAAATAGCTGGAGGTAGTTGGGGAAGTCTTCATGGAGAAGAAATAATTCCAGTATTTAGCACAGTGCCTGGCACATAGCAGGTACCTAATAAATGTTTACTGGCAGGCTGACTGGAGGAGGTGGGCTTTAAATTGGTCACGGAAGGATAGAATCATAGTACCACAGACTAGATTGGGATGGACCTTTGTGGTCATCTAGTTCAAATCTCTCATTTTAGGTAGAATTTGGGGAGCAACAGTGGGGAGTGGGGAATAGAAGGTTGGTGGTAAGAAGAAGTAGGATTGTAGAAGCAGGATGGATTCCAGAGAGCCTTGAAAGCCAGGCCCAGGGGGAGTCAGGCAAGGAAGAGCCGATGAAGGGAAGTACTACAAAAGTAGTGTCAGTTTAGGAAGATTAGGCAGCTAGGTGGCTCAGTGGATAGAGTGCCCAGCCTGGAGTCAGGAAGACTTATCTTCCTGAATTAGAATCTGGCCTCAGACACTAGCTGGGTGACCCTGGACAAATTACTTAACCCTGTTTGCCTTAGTCTCCTCATCTGTAAAATGAGCTGGAGAAGGAAATAATAAGCCACTCCAGAATCTTTGCCAAGAAAACCCCAAATGGGATCATGAAGAGTGGGACCCAACTGAAACAACTAAACAACAACTACAACAACAGGAAAATTAGTCTGGCATCCGCCTGAATATGTTTGTTGGATAAATGGGGATGGGGAAGTGTAGAGACAGCTCAGTTTAATGGAGAATGCAGTTCATTTCAGTGGGAATTTTATAGTCTAATTGAGACTGTAGGACCATGTAATTATTTCTTTTCTTTTTTGCACCTAATAGTATTTTGTTTTTTTCCAATGATATGTAAAGATAGTTTTCAACATTCATTTTTGTAAGATTTTGAGTTCCAAATTTTTCTCTCTGCCTCCCCTCTAAAATAGCAAGCAATCTGATATAGGTTATACGTGTATAATCATGTTAAATATATTTCCACATTAGTCATGTTGTGAAAGAAGAATCAGAACAAAAGGGAAAAACATGAGAAAGAAAAAATGAAAAGAAAAAAAGTGAAAATAATATGCTTCAATCTGCATTCAGACTCTATAGTTCTTTCTCTGGATGTGGATAGCATTTTCCACCATGAGTCTTTTGGAATTATCTTGGACCATTGTATTGCTGAGAAGAACTATCATAGTTGATCAGGGCAGTGTTACTGTTACTATGTACAATGTTTTCCTTGTTCTGCTCACTTCAGTTAGCATCAATTCATGTAAGTCTTTCCAGGTTTTTCTGAAGTCCACCTGCTCATCATTTCTTATTAGAACAATAGTATTCCATTACATTCATATACTACAACTTGTTCAGCCATTTCCCAGTTGATGGGCATCCCTCCAATTTGCATTTCTTTGCCACCACAAAAAAAGCTGCTATAAATATATATATTTTTTACAATGTGGGTCCTTTTCCCTTTTTTATTATCTTTTTGTGGGACACAAACCTAGAAATGCTATTACTGGATCAAAGGGTATTCACAGTTTCATAGCCCTTTGGGCATAGATCCAAATTACTCTCTGGGATGGTTGGATCATTTTACAACTCCATCAACAATGCATTAGTGTTTCAAATTTCCCACATCTTCTCCAACATTTATCATTTTCCTTTTCTATCATGTTAGCCAATCAGATAGGTATAAGGTGGCATCTCAGATTTGTCTTAATTTGCATTTCTCTAATCAATGATTTAGAGCATTTTTCCTTGTGACTATAGATAGCTTTAATTTCTTCATCTTAAAACTGCCTGTATCCTTTGACCACTTATCATTTGGGGAATGACTTGTATTCTTATAAATTTGACTCAGTTCTCTATATATTTGAGAAATGAGGCCTTTATCAGAAAAATTGTAAATTGCTGTAAAAATTGTTTCCCAGCTTTCTGCTTTCCTTCTAATCTTGGTTTTATTGGTTTTGTTTGTTCAAAAACTTTTTAATTTAATGCAATCAAAATTATCCATAATGTTCTCTTGTTTGGTCATAAATTCTTCCCTTCTCTATAGATCTGACAGGTAAACTATTCATTGCTGTCCTAATTTGCTTATGATATCACCCTTTATATCTAAATCATATACCCATTTAAACAGTATCTTGACATGGGGTGTGAGATGTTGGTCTATGCCTCATATAGTTATTTTTGGAGGAACATTTTGAATTTCAGCCAATCTCCCCCCATTACCTGGTAAGTTTCTGGGCCATTCGAATTCTTCTGCCATCAGATGGTGTGTGCTTAAAGACTGTAAATTTCATTTACATGATGTCAGCCTGAGACAAGCAGCATTAGAAAAGAAATGTGTTACAGTGACCAAAATACCCCCAACAAAGAACAGTGCATGCCTAACTAAATGTAATTTATTTCTGGATTATATATGTTTTATGTTTATATCTTGACGTATGTCAGTGGACTCATGATCTCACTGATATTAGTACTTCATCCATGGATGCAGACCACAGCCTATTCACGCTTTCTTATCCCATGCAAATCTTTTCTATGACCTTTCACAAATCTTCCATAGAAGATCTGCACATTGCACTAGAGGCCTTCTTCTAGGGCTTTAAACATTTCATGGATACCACTTCACATTTTGTGCTATTCCTTTCCCCTTTTCTGCTTGCTACATAAATACATGTCCTAGATGTTATCTTTTATGCCACGTTTTATATGGAAGTTATCATTGTTAATGTATTATAGCTAGGGGCATACTGGTAAATTCTTAACAACCAGCTGTATGGGCTCAGGACACACTTTTAAATTTCATCTGCAGTATTGATGTTTTTTCCATCACTTTTTTAAGTCCAGACAATCAACAAAACAATACACCAAGCCCTGATTGTAGCATTTGTTGATTTTTGAAGTATAAATACTCACACTGAAAACACTTGGCTGTCTGTGAACTTGTATGAGATGGCTCCAGCAGACTCTTGGTTACAGCTGACTACTTGTACCCACCATGCTTCTCACTATTGCTTTTTAGTGGTCAAGGTGTTCGATAATTCCTAGTCTTATAACACCTCTCAAAAGAGTGGTATTGAAAAGATAGTTTCTTATATCAGCAAACAGCTTAGTATCATATCGTTGAAAGAGCTGTGTAACTTCCCAGACTTAATCTAGCCTGATCTTATGTTATTCAAGGCCCGGTCCATCACAGTGCCCATTTGTACCATCCAAGATAACAGTTTTAGGAGTGACACCCTCCCCCCAACATACATCCTAAATTGTTAGCCTGTTTTGACCCCATCTGGAGTTCCCTCTAGGAAGTCTCAGAAAATAACTGAAATATGGTTTATGTTTAGGTCTCCAGAGAGGTGAGTAAAAGGGTGCCCTTCTCCTAAGGGACTTAGTACTCCCCTATCTCTTCTTAGAAGGGTGGATTCCAGGACTCTTGGGTACTCACCATTGTCTGGGAAGTCCCCCTTCCTTTTTCAAAGAGACAGTGGTTCAGGAACTCTACTCCTAGGCCACATGTTTGGGAGCTCATGCAACTGCTGTGTGCCTCTGCTTCAGTGTAGCCATTAGGAGCTGGGGATGGAGAGGTTTTCACTCTGGAACTTTAGTCCCTAGTTTTGCTGTTCTCTGGTCTGTTTTCTGAAAAGCAGAGGTAGGGACAAAGGGAGTGGAAGGGACAAGAACAATTGCAATTTGACACCCCCCCCCTTTTCACTGTGGCTGTGACCCACAATATGAGTCAATCCCTTCATGGCTAATTGATCTGCAACAGCCAAAAGCAATCTGTTCCCAGTGTATGGAATACAATCATAAGCTCATCAAGTTGATTGGGGTAGCCTCTCGTTATTAGTACAAGCATGCATTCATGTGCAGTAGGTTGGGTGTGGCTCAGGCTGGGCTGAGAGCTAAGGTTCAAAATCAGAATGAAACGAAGCTCTCACAGTCCATCCGTTAGTGTACAAAGGGAGGGTTTACTTAGGACATTACAAGCAGGGAAAGCAGACAGCTTTGACTGATCCAGCGCTTTCTTGTGCCCATCATGCTGCTAGTCAGGCAGAAGCCTGAGGGAGGAGCCAAGAACCTAGCTGGGCATTCAGAGTAAAGTCAATCAAGCAATGGTTTTTAAAGCACCTACTGTGTGCATCATTGTTCTAAGAGATGGGGATACAAAAAGAGGTAAAAGGCAACCCCTGCCCTCAAGGAGTTCACAATCCAAGAGGTGGGGGGAGAGACAACAAGCAAACAACTACAGGCAAACCATATTCAGGATAAGTAGGAAATAAATGCAGTTAAATGAATGTTTCTAAATGATCTGAACAGTGTGATTCTTGGTACCCTCTGCCTCCTTTCTTCTTGGTACCATTACTTTTGCACTGTTACCATGGAAGTAGAAGGGGCTGTATAAATCATTTAACAATTTGTATTTGGGTTGTGGGTCACCCTGAACAAAGAATTCATCAACTCCAGGCCAACCTAAGCCTTTCTGCCTTGGCTGGACTGGTCCCCCGAGAGCAGCCATGAGCTGTTGCTGGGCCTACTGAAGCTTTCTTATTTCTAGCTTGTTAGACCCTACCAGAGCTAATTTCCTTGCCATAAAGAGACAGCGACACAGAGCTTCTGTGGAGGATTCACATAAGATAGTGCATAGTGGTGAATAATTGACGGTTGACTGGTATACACTAAACATGAGTACCAAGGGGATACAGAAAAAAAAAAGTAGTAATCAGCATTGGGTGGTAGGTTGGGATGGTGGGGAAGGGGGCATATTGGGGCTTGTTAATCAGGGAAGGTTTTCTTTGTGGATGGGGTTTATATTAGGGGAAAAGTTGAGAGGGGGATGGATGGCTAGAATAATTGGGTAGGACTAGCAGCTGTTTGGGGTTGACAATTAATATACGGTCATTAATTCTTACCAGTTACTTCTGCTACCTCTAGGCCTTGGATGATGCCAACAAGGGCATCATTGAAGAACTGAGAGCGACTCGAAGCTCTGACAGTGGCAAAGGCAAGAAAGACAAAGGTGGGAGTTCCTGGAAACCTAGAGAGAGCTCTTGGGGTCAGAGGGAGTGGGAAGAGGAAAGAAGGCTTTATTTCTGGTCCCCGACCAATTGTTTTATGTTCTCTTTCCCCAAAGAGGTTGTTGGTTGCTGTGTTCTCCCTCTGCTTTCTCTTCTGTCAGGCCTAGACCAGTCTTATAGTGGCATTAGTCAAAGAGGCTGGCCACAACCCTTGAGCCTTTAGGCCTAGTTTCTGATCAGCAACCTCAGGTGTTTTCTTCTGGCCCATCTGATGCTGGGGAACTAGCCAGGGAGGGGACCTCAGACTCTTCCCATGCATGGTCTTTTTCAAAGCATAGAATTGTAGAATCAGAGCCGTTAGGGACCTCAGAAAAAAGCTGGTTCAACTTCTTCATTTTCTAGGAGAGGAAACTGAAATTTGGAGAGGAGGGTGAACTGGCCACGGTCATAGTGGCACAGTCAGTATTTAAACCCAGGTCTAATGACTCCAAAAGCCAGCTCTTACCATGAAACTAGATCATGTATTAAAACGTCTTTGTAACTAGAAAGCATCATACAAATGGGAAATCTTACTCTATGACCATTATGTACTTGGCAGCCTCCATCCATCCTCACATCTACAGGTCATGGAGGAGTCGATACTTGTAGAATGAGATTAATACAGTACGATGAGGACAGAGGGGTGGGGGTAGGGGTGGTGGGAAGTGGCTCATTCCCTGGCCATATGTAAGCTGCAATGAAATCCATTCTGTGAGTAAAGGGAGGCCAGGCTGCTACAGCATACTGTAATAGGCTTGAAGGTTAAAACAACTTCTTGTCCCCCAACAGTGAGAGCAGTCCCCTGGGCATTCTCTTGGCCTGCCTTTTATCCCTACCAAATTGTAGCTCATGAGGGGCAGAGGTGGCACTTATATCCACAAGGACAGAATCAGGTCTGCGGGATGTGTGGCCCAGCCTGGGTGCCCATAGGCCCCGGTGTCATTATTCTATCACACAACATTCTTTCAACAAGCATTTATTTATGCCTACTGTGTGCCATGAGGTTATGGCTAGCAACATTTCAGAAGTCAGAAGTAATGGAGCAGAAAAACAATTTGAAGAAAACTTGGCAATATAGCTCTAAGCAAGGTCATCCAAATGATATTCAAGGATAACTACGGAAAGAAGACTGCAAATAGAAGAAAAATGGAAAAGATTTGAAAAAAAAATTTCATCACAGTTTTCTCCATCAAGAATAGTAGAACCATCACACCTATCATGGCAATCCCTGAGGTGCCTTAATGGCACAAAAGAGAGAATGAAGACAGGAAAAACAGCCAGGTTAGATCCAGTAGAGTATACAGAGAAAAGCTCTGTGCTGGAGGTGATATATTTGTGAGGTCATTGAAAGACAACATACAAGGTATCTGAAGGAAAATACCAAAAGTATGGGGAAAAACTCAGACTTTAATATTAAAAAAATCTACTTGAAAGATCGGTAACTGTTGGCCTCTATTTCTGCTCTTCCGTGTGTGTGTGTGTGTGTGTGTGAGTGTGTACATATGTATATATGTGTGTGTTAAGGCAGCAATGGCAGTGGATAGAGAACTGGCTTCAAAACCAGGAAGACCTGGGTTCAGGTTTCACCTCTGATACATACTGGCTATGTGATCCTGGACAAGTCACTTAACTCCTCAGTGCTCTCTCTAAGACTCTAAGTTGGGAAAAAGATACTGCCCTGCATTGGTAGAGGGAGATTTCTTACCCGGATATTTCCTAAACCAGTGCAATTACAGGAACAGTCCCTATCCTTACCCTATCTTGTCCCCATAAAATCTTTATGAGTCATAAGGAAGAAGATTTTCACAAGCATTATGCAACAATAAACCATGTCTTTGCCATACCACAATTAAATAGTTAAATGAAAGATACAGACAATTTATGTTCCCATCATACTTGTTATCCACACATCAAGATCGTTCAGGAGTTCAGAAGATGGAATGACAGAAGTAACCCTGTTCATTGACCCTCTGCTAGTAAACATCAGGCAAGACATAAAACATGGAGATAGATGTAGTCCCCCAAAGGTATTTGCCACCATGATGCAGGTGATGTAGAGCCAAAGCTGTGTTGAGGAAGGATTGATTCTTGGGGAATGTTGGGGGTCCTCCAGGTTCCCCTGTTTGCAGATAACATTGGGCCTCAAGACAGTGCAGAGCCTGCGGGAAGAGATCTGCAATCCCAAGGACTTTGTCTGGCCCATTGATCAAGGGAAGACCAAGTAGAGGAGAAAAGGCAACTGCCTGGATTTCAGCATGCATTTGGATGGACACCCTGGAGAACTTTCCCAGCAGTATGTGTACCTGAGACTGATGGTACAGATGGATAGCATGCTGGACTCAGCGTGGGAAGGGGAGAGAACAGGCTAGATCGCTTTCGGGATGTTGCAGAGCTCTTTTACCGACCTCAGGTTTTATCGTCTTTTCAATACTAACATTTTATCAGTGTTGTTTGATGGCAATGAGATGTTGAATACCACTGCTTCAGAAGAGCCAAGGATGATTATCACACAGAGGGCAGAGGAAAGGCCCATGGTGTGACCAATGAGGATGTTATCAAAGAATCATATGACTAGAAGAGAAAACAGGCTGAGCAGGAGGTGACAGTAGACACGCCCAGTGCCTTGGGTGAAGCCCATGAGGTCAGCTTTCAGGAGGACGTGGATGAGAGCTGCACATGACAAACGAGTATGGATTGGTTTTGATTTGCACCATTGGAGGGAACAGAATCAGTGAGATGGCAGATCCATTTGACTATGCATTGTACAAGGCTCTGGGGAATCAAAAACAGAAGTGGAACAATCCCTGGCCTCAAGTTGCTTACATTCTACTTGGGGAAAACATGCATTACAATCATTTTTAAGAATGAAATATATGTGGAATAAATGCTGAGTAATTTACAGTGTGTGGGAAAGAGCATTAACAATGGGGTGGATAAGGATAAGTCTTATGGCTCACGAGCTGGGCCTTGAAGGAATCTAGAATCTAGAGGAGGAGGTGCATGGGGGACAGTCTGTGCAAAGGTGGGAGGTGGAATCTTATGGATGGTAAGCAGCAAGGAGGCCAATTTGCCTGGAACATAGAGTGTATGAAGGAGAGCATGATAAATTTGGGAACATCAGCTACAGCCAGGCTTGGAGGGGCTTTAAATGCCAAATGGGAGTTTCTATTTATCCCAGAGACAATAGGGAGACATGGAGGCTTCTTGATGGAGGTAGGGAGGGAGAGCATTTAGTGGGCTACTGCAGCAGCATTCCAGCCAAAAGGCGCCAAGGATGGATGTGGGACAACTGTGAGAGATGTAGAAGTAGAATTGACAAGATTTGGGAACTGATGAGATGTGAGGGGTGGCTCTGAGGCTGGAAGCTGGGTATGATGATAACAATAATGGCATTTACAAAGTGCTTTATGTATGTTTTCTCATTGGATCCTTACAACAACCTTGTGGGGTAGGTGTTACTATCTCAATTTTATAGATGAGGAAACTGAGGCAATCAGAAGTTAAATGACTTCCAGGGTCACTCATCTAATAAATGTCCGAGTTGTGATTGAAACTGAAGTTTTTGTGACTCCCAAGTCTAGTGCACTAACCACTACACTATCTAGATGCCTTCAGATATGATTGGAATAAATTCTGTGATTGGAAGATGATCCATCTGATGGGAAGAGTAATGATGCCCTCACCAAAATAGGGATGTTGGGGAGAGAGATCAGTTTAGGGGGAAAACGTGCATTTGGTTTGGGGCCCAAGTCCATTTTGAGATGCCCCAGTGGGACAGCCAGCTGAGGAATTTGGCAATGTGTTTGTTTGTAAAGTTGTAACAGAGTGTAATACTACAGGGTCATGAGGATGTGGATCAGCCAGAGCCCGCTGTTAATTCCTCCTACTGTTCGAGCAGATAAGCATAGAAGACAGGATATTGTGTGTCTTATCACACAGGGAACCAAGAATGTTGCCTAGCTAGATGCTTATAGCCTAATCGGAACAAGTAGCTTTGTTGCCAAGGTGCCTGAAACCAGAGTAGGATCCCCACTGCTCTCCCCTAGGCAAAGCCAACACATTCACTGAGAAGTGGACCCCACAAAAAAGGGGGCTCAGCTTTCTTGCTGGAGAGCAGCTGGGCTACCCTGAGAAACGTTGCAAGTCTAAAGGAGAGTCACCTGTAAGATATAGGTGCTTGGGAATGGACTTCCCTTCCTTCTCCTGTGAGACTGGATGAGGGTGAAGATGATGAAACCATAGTTTTTATAAGCCTTCTGATGAGATCCTTTTTTGTTGTTGTTGATTTTTTTAAATTTTAAATTATTTTTAGTTTTCAACATTCACTTCCATAAGATTTTGAATTTTTAATTTTCTCCCCCTCCTCCCCAAGACTGCATGCAATCTGATATAGGCTCTACTTATATATTCATATTAAGCATATTTTCACATTAGTCATGATGTATAGAAGAATTAGAACTAATGGGAAGAACCCCAGGAAAGAAGAAATAAAACAAATCAACAAAAGAAAAGGGGAGCAAATAGTATGCTTTGATCTGCATTCACACTCCATGGTTCTTTTTCTGGATATGGATAGCATTTTCCATCATGAGTTTTTGGAGTTTTCTTAGATCCTTGCATTGCTGAGAAGAGCTGAGTCTATTAAGGTCAGTCATCGAACAATGTGGCTGTTACTGTGTACAGTGTTCTCTTGGTTCTGCTCACTTCACTCAGCATCAGACCATACAAGTCTTCCAGGTTTTTCTGAAGTCTGCCTGCTCATCATTTCTTACAGCACAATAGTATTCCATTACATTCATAGACCACAACTTGTTCAGCCATTCCCCAATTGATGGGCATCCCCTCAGTTTCCAATTCTTTGCCACCACAAAAAGAGCTGCTGTAAATATTTTTGTACATGTCGATCTTTTTCCCATTTTTATGATCTCTTTGGGATACAGACCTAGAAGTGGCATTGCTGCAAAGAGTATGCACAATTTTTTAAAAGAATCCATGAAGAATAAAGAGTCACCAGGCTCTTTCTGCCAAACCAGAGCGTTTATCCTGCACTTGCTTCTTGGGACTGAAGGTGGCAGCACACGAGCACGTTTTAGTCTTCCCTGAGGCCATGGGAGGACGAGACTTCCAAGTTATCTCCATTGAAATTCCTGAGAGCCTGTGATGGGTGTCCCAGAGAAGGGCGGCCCAGAAATAGAAGGTGCACAGGCTTTTTGGCAAAGGATCTCTTGGGATTGACAGCGCTCCTGTAAGACTTACTCGTTCCACTGCTTTTTTGGCTGGCAGCTCATATTCCACCCAAAGCTTCCCACTCAATGATCAATACACATCTTAGGGATTCCTCTCATTCAGAGAAGTTAAAGAGTACAGCAAATGAAATGCAACAACCCGGGAACATGCTGGAATTGCAAGGGGATGGGATTTGACGTCAGAGGACCTGAGTTTGAATCACAGCTTGGCCATTTATGAGCAAATCACTTCTCTAGGCTTCATTTGCTTCACTCTTAAAATGAAAAGGTTGGACTGAGTGACCCCTAAGATCCCTTCCAGCCCTAGGGGCTATGATCCTATCCCTTTCTCCTGTACCCTGCCCCTCCCCCACATGCACACTTGTCCTCTCATACCCACACAGGCATTAAGTTCTTAGACAGGAAATATAGATGAATCTCAACTAGAGTTCTACTAAAATATCTGTTCTTCTGGGTGTGTCTTCTGTCTCATAAGATGCACTTCTCAACAGTATTGACCCTGAGGTTACAGATTGGTTTTCTCTGCCTGGCAATTGAGCTTAATGAATCTTTTCTTTTCTTTTCTTTTCTTTTGCCTTTTTAGATGAAATATATGAGGATCCTGAGGTTGGGGAAAATGAGCAAAAAGAAAAGGGGGACATGGATGACTCAGAAACAGAGAGGGATGGGAAAGAGGGAAAGAAGGTAAAAATAAAAGATGATACAAAAAGAGAGAATGAGAACCAGAGTGGAGAAAGTCAAGGGATGAAGAGGGAGGAAATTGAACCAGAGGAGGAGGAAGAAGAGGAGGAGGAAGAAGAGGGGGAAGAAGAAACAGAAGGTGAAAATGCTGAATAAGATGAGTAGTATGCACTCCATTTCTGAGTGTTGGGGCTTGGAAGGAAACATTCTAGATCCTAGGGACTCACTTCTAAATGGATTGTAATTTTTTTTCCTTTATTTTCCTAATTTTAATTAAATTTCCACAAGTTTTTGAGTTCCAAATTTCTCACCCCTCCCCCCACCCACCCCAAGATGGCATGCATTCTGAATACCCCTTCCCCTGGTCTGCCTTCTCTTCTATCTCTCCCCCGTCCCTTCTCTTATCCCCTTCCCCTTCTATTTTCCTGTAGAACAGGATAGACTTCTGTACCCCATTTCCTGTATTTCTTATTTCCCAGTTGAATGTGAAAACATTTTTTTTAAAACATG